CTCGCTTTTCCCTAGCAGAATTCACCGCTCGTTTGTCTTCATTAGCCTCTACTCGAGTCTCGTCCGTGGCGATCTGTCAAACGTAATGAGAGACTCGGCGCGTGCGAGTCTTTGTTACCTTTCCTTCAAATCCCTCGTATCCTCGCCGTTTCTACGTTCCGTCTGATCCTTAATCGAACCATCGATATGTCACCGTCGATGTATCGCGGCTCCCATAAACAGCAGTCGCGTCATATCGAAACTTTCCTTTTCGTTGATCTAACAAGAGAATATACACAACAGCCGGCTCGCTTCTTTTAACCAGAACTTTCGACAGCTTTCTACTTCCTTGCGCAAAATGTCGGCGATCTCGGGGAGATTCGTCGCCTATCGGCGTCGATGTCTCCGCGATCGCTTTATCATCGGTCTCGGTCGTTTATCGCGACCATCGCCGGCGGCGATCGACCTCAAACCGAACCGATCCCCGAACCCCTGCGTCTCGATCCGGCTGTCCGAAATTTTTTCCTACCGAAAGAAAAAGTCCGTGTATAATCCATAAATCAACGCGACGCGCGGGGCTATAAATAAACGAACCGAGAATCCATTGATTTCATAACGGCCAGGCAATTCTGTTTGCAAATTATTTACGCGCCTTCCATCGGCCACCTCACGCGGCCCGCCTCGATCGGGCACGATTACTCGCGGCCATAACGATGGCCGATCATCGTCGCGTTGCGTCCTCCGTCATCCACGCGAAATGTCACGAGCACCGCCAGATCCGGAGGAACCTGTCGCCGGCCGATCCTGGACCTTCTCTAGGTCGTTTGGAAACCGGCGCCTCTGGCCCATTTGCATTTACAACGTAAATAAAGAGTCCGTTTCGAAATTGCGACAGAGCGATGTGCGCGCGTCGTGTCTCGGATCTAACGACGGCTTGCAGATCACCTTTGCCCATCTCGTTATTTTTACTTTTTAATCTTTCCTCGTTCCTCGAACATCGGAACTCGTTTGATAGCAATTATAGCGGGTACATGGGCGTCGAAATGGACGCGGCGAGTTTACGATTAGGGTAAAATATCGCAATACTGGTTCTTCTGGGTATTGTATAATGGGTTATTCCTCGAGAATAAAATCGTTGCTAAGGGGAACGGTGTTATGAGATGTTGATTATGTATTAGGTGATACGTGTTGGTAAATTGGGAAGATTCGGACCCGTTAGAAAACTGTCGCGACACCTTGAAACGCAGAATGAAAGTTCGACACGCGTGTCGCCTGTATCACGTAACCTAACGAAATCTGTTTCCTTAATGAAGCAGCAGAAGAGGAATTACATAATTGCGGCGGTTGCCGCCAGTGTTTCAGCATTCCTTCGTCATCGTTATTCGATAATCGTTTTCGAATAGTAGATCGGTATCCGTGAATCGATTTTCGTTCGCGCAAAAATACATGCATCGATCGTGCGTGTGTGTGCACACCCGTATAAATCCAGACCGGTTTCTAACTTTTCGCGAAACCTCGTAATTCATTTCACCGGGAAACGCTTTACGCAGGGTATACTTGTTCTCATTGACGTTCTCAAAGGAATTCACTGTCGCGATAACGCGAGTAGGTGCTGCGCGAATCAATGTCGCGGTCTCGCGAATTCCTTCCCTGGGGCTACATTTGCATACGACAAGAGAAAGCACTCCATATTACAAAATCGATTTCTCTACTTCGACCTTAGACAAAAACGCACCAGCTTTTCCCCACCTGTCGAAAAAGTCCTTCGTGTCGGACCTTGATTCGCCAAATCCGAGACCTTGCTACCACGTTGATGGTTCTTCGATGATCCTCGAGCTTTTCTGTGCCGCACGTGAACTCGACGAATAGCTACGGGGAAGATTAGCCGAGCCAGCAATCAAGGTGGAAAGTGAAATCCTCGAATCCTCTCCATCGCGAGCTCCTCTTAAGGTCAACGACTGAGAATTGTTTTCGCACACTGATTAATTAGTACTCTAATCTCCCAGGGACACCGATCTTCTCGGCTCGATCGCTATACTTCGAGGATGTTGACGCAAACTATTCTCAAATAGAGAGACTATTAATCGTTGTTGTATGATAAAAGACGGTCCCGATTAAAAATTCGACGCCGTGGAAGCGTATCGTCGATTATTTTAATGCCGGTGTTTGGTATGCGAAGGCTATCGATATCGGCGAGAGTTTGCTAAACGAAGGTTGACTCAGCTGCGAAGGAACGATCGTTTCTAACGTGGCTAATGCTCGTTTTTATTTATTCCCCGGGCAATACCAATCGCTCGAGAAATAAGGAATTTCTATTTAAATATTTTTCCACAACGAATCTTTAACAGATCGTTGACGTTGTTTAGCCGTTAATGGCCACAGTCCCGATTTATTGCCCGCGATTTGCTCGAATCCGAGAGCCAGAATCGCGTCGTGCATGACTAATCTCGCGAACGGGTCCAGGCTGATCCGGTCCAGCGTTTCAGTCCTGAAGTTCTGGTGCACGCGGCGCGATGACGAAACGACCGTGTACGCGTTCTAAATTGTAGGTTCGCGCGAAGGATCTGATCAATTATATCTCGACGATTCAGAGACACACGGTGTTTCCGAAAGCGTGGACTTCGTTTTTGACCTTTCACGAGCCGCTTTCTGCTTGGTTTCACTATCCAGCTCGTACCTACGGTGCGTGAATCGAGATTTCGATCGATGAAGTTCCTTCCTAATATCCGTGATCCATATTTGCCATTGGAGAGTTGATCGAAGTTCTGAGTAAAAGATGAACAGCGTTTCGTTGGAAAAGTTTGTTTGCTGGTAGACTTAGAGGTAATCTGTGTCTAATATGTTGAATAAGGAGGACGAGTTATCTCGTACTAGATTAAGGTCTCTTAACCCTTTCAATGACGAGTCTAGCTCGTGATGAAGATGTTGGTCCAAACATGAATATCACGTGCCAGACTCGTGAACCGAAAGTCGGCCCAAACATGATTATCACGAGCCAGACTCGTGAACAGAATATTTTTCTAAACATAGTTTTGAAACTGTCATCTATCAGAAAATATGATATATTTATGATATTTATTAAAGGAAAAAGAGTTAGAGTTTAGTATACATCGAGTTTTAATTAGAGTTTACCGCGCGTTGACGCCTACCGTTTGGGCCCGGATTTCGTCGAGCTAAATAGCAGGGGAAGGGGTTAATCGCCATATGACTGCTCAGGGCCACGAATATAAATGTAGACGAAAGTAGACAAATTCAGCTATATCTATTTATGCCTAGTTGTAGATTAAATCCCTTGTGGAATATCAAGAAAATAGGGCAGGTGGTCATTGATACTGAAAGTATCACGTTGTGCTAAATTGGGACGAAATTTTTCTAATCATTAAAAGGGTACGAACAAAAATCTTTCCAAGAAGTATCTCGTACAGGACCTAATACAGTCAGTTGGGTCCAACCCGCGGTAATGACAGACTGGAATTCTTCGGAGAACTATCTTCAGGGTTCAGCGTCGGGATTCCTACGCGACTGCCTCGAGAAGCAATCGCGTTAGGGCGTTGAAGAAATTATGAAACTCGAATGTGAGAAACGGCCTACAGGTGGCTATGACTACTCGAGAATCCACCCGAAGCTACGAAATTATGGAAATCGTTTTCCAACGCGAGCCACACAGTCTACCTTTATCGCGCAACGCCCACGCGTACTAGCGGTCTTGGTCGATTCTTTCCCTTTTAACGTCAGGACCAGTCACTCTTTCGCGTCTCTGGACCGTGTTTGGAGTATAGACATGGCTGAAAACACGAAAGCATCATTCGCAGAATTTCTTTCCTCAGATTTGGACGATCGGATATCCCCGCCATCAAAATTAGTCGATGGCGTCGCATGGATCAGGACGTTCGATTTTTCATCGACTTTGTCCCGTCCATGGAAAGTCCCGAGCGAATTTCTCACGAGCGCGAGGCGTCGCAGAAGGCAGACAGGTGGATTGCGCAATGCGCGTGTATTGCAATTCGTGCGCGATTCGTCGGGCTGGTATCTGCAGCGTGTGCCTTTCGTGCGCGTTATTTTCTACGAATATCTGGGAACGATATTGTCCTTCGTTTCCCAACTAACACCGCGCGCTGTCCGCGTCGACGTCGTCGCGGTGCGCTCAGGTTTGCGTTACATAAACTCGTGCGGGATGGGTGTCAGGCTTATTAAGTATTCGCGGTGAACGGTGTTACGCCGCTCGTACACACGCACGTTGCCCGTGAACCTAAACTGTTCCACGCCTTTTACCAGGGTGCCTCGATTAATCGGCGCGATTGCCGGTTACGATTCGTTCTCTCTATAATCGTCCGTTGAACCATTCTCGTTATTCTCGGTATTCGCTCGTCGACCATTTTCCGTTGCCAGCGGGAAACAAACGCGAGATACGCGGCGTTGCCTCGTAATTATCGGCGATGCATTAATTCCGGGAATCTAGTTCCTGTTGGATAACGACGTGAAATTTTTTTCACGGACTTCCTCAAATTTTATATCCGCTTTTACGTAACCGACACCAGGCCTAAAGTCGCTGATCGTTAGGAACCCGGCGACGATCACGGGATCAACGAATCCTGCTTTCCGTTAGCCATTGAACGAGATTTGTTGTAATTTCCTCTGCTCGTTCGTTCCTCCGTCTCTCTAAACTCGGCCAACCTGTCCCGCTGATGGTCAATTATTCCTTTTTTCGACGCGGGCTTCCCGCCAAGCGGACTCCGCATCGTCGAACTTTACGTTGACGTTGTGAAAGTCCGATGAATCGTTTTGTAATCGCGATTAAATCTCGTCGAGCCGCAGAAATCGAGTCTTCCGAGTCGCGGAAGGAACGACGGGACGAATAGAAAGCAGCGGACTATGAGAGAGAAAGACCGCGAAGTTCCGCGATACTTGCCGCGCCACGCTAGGCTATTATTTACGTGTAAAATGCTGACAGCTAGAGGAGACGAAGCTGCCAAGCCACCCACCGTGATAATCGTTAACGTGTAATTTCGTGATGGACTTACATCGGGAACGAGGTCCTCGCGTCCATCGTTGGAGGCCTCTTCCACGTTGATGCGGATTCCAGACATGTTCCAGGGTGTCTCTTCCTCTACTTCCCTCTCTGCTCGAAATCACTCCGAGACAATACCCTACACTCCCTCCGTGAACGTCGAAGGTCGATCTCCTAGGTCTCTGTGAAAAATCCGCACCTAGGAGCCGCACTCTCCGTTCGTTCCCCCGTTACCACCACTCCCGTGAACGGCTGGTGATCCCGAGCTGCACGTATATTCCACAAGAAACCGACCGCGATCACCCCAAAAAGAATGAATCTCCCTCTCGCGCTGTGCTTCGTGCCTGACCGACCGACCAGTCCCCGAGGACTGGCCTAGCGGAGTCCCAGGGAGCGCTAGTCCTCGAGTTCCTTGTCCTTTCTCTCTGTCCCTTCTGGAATCCAAGAGCAGGGCCAACTGTACTCCTCTGTCTCTCCCTCGGGACAGTACGCTCTT